ATTTATTTTACTTATTTAATTTATATCCTACCCAGCTAGACCGAAGTCTACTCTGGGCAGCTAACAACATAGAAGAATACATAAAATAAATGACATTTAAACCATAAGGATAACAAATAACTTAGGTATTGACAGGAGGGAAGGCCTGCCTAAAGAGCCAAGTCTTGAGCTGGCTCTTAAAAACACCTAGCGAGGGAACCAGACAAATTTCGGGGGGAGGGATTGCTTCAGAGGTGAGGGGCCACTGCCGAGAAGGCCCTCTATCTTGTTCTTTCTCTTTGGGCTCCTCAGCTGCCCATCTTGGCTAAAGCGAGTGATTCGGGTAGATCTAGGTGGGAGGAGGCATTCCGTCGGATATTGAGGTCCTAAACCGTTTAGGGCTTTTTATGTCATCATTAGTACTTTGAAATCGATGCCGAAACGAACGGGCAGCCAGTGCAGGGCAGCCAGAGTAGAGGAGATACGTTGATGTTTTCTCACCCCAGTAAGAAGTCTGGCCACCACGTTCTGCACCACTTGGAGCTTCCGCATCAGTCTCAAAGGTAGCCCCCGCTGAAGGAAGTTTTGACTGCCAAGTGCTGGTTATTTTTTTAATTGATGCATTATTTTTATCCTCAAGGAAAACAAAGTACTGTATATACATTACAAATATCTGCAAAATAAGAACAAGTGACAGGAGATTAGGTAGATCTAAGAAGACTATAGGATTTTGAAAAGAAACAAAAGCCGTCCGAAGGACGCAGCTAGACTTCCTCTGGTGCATTCTGCTGCTGCATGAATGCCATGTAATGTTCGTTGGCAGATTTTAAGTTCTTTTAACTTTCACCCATATCACTGCATGAAAATCAACTGACCACCAATACAGATGTGGAAAAACAGAGGCGAGCCTGGGCACCACCCAACCAAGGTTATCTCAGGCAAGCTAGAGAAGGGAGAGGCGTATTTCTTGGAAAACACTCTTGGGCCATAAAACCCACATGTACTGTTGTGTAAAAATAGGAGGTATACCCAACTACCACCATCTCTGTAGTCCTCCCACCAGCCAGCAAAACATGCCATGCAACTCCATCCTAAGCAATTATATAGGTGCATTTGCAACAATATAGGTGTTATTAACCCAGTTCATTACATTGCGCAGACACTGTGGGCTGCAAAAGATCTCAGTGGGTGTTGTCGGTCACCCTACCAAGTCTTTTCCACATGTCTTCTAAGAGCCTAGCCTTGATTAAACATAACAGCTCTTCCACTTCTCACAAACCCTTGGGAAATTTACTTTTCCCACACATATTATTCTGGCTTATCTACCAGAGGAAAAATACTCAAGAGAAATCTGAGCATTTCATCCTGTGCAAGTGTCAAGCCACAGTTATGGCTAGCCACATGTGAATTTACACAAGGTATGTCCTTGCTTGGGTTTCCCAAAGGACAGTCGCTTTCCTGAAGAAAGGGAAGCCTGAGGGGCAAGAAGTGGACTGCATTGCTTTGTTGTCTAGGCAGAGATACAAGGATGGTACTCTACAAATTGTACCAATTCTGGAGAGTGTAGGAACTTCATGCTGCTTGAAGATCACAGAATGACACATACATTACTTTCTGTACTTGAACATGTCAAATCTTGTAAGTCTTGATTATGCTAATTGGTCGGAGAACACAAATATTGATTGATTGTAAGTCAGTCTTGTCTTTGAGATATTATGAAGCATTTCATGCCACTCAATAAGAAGGATGCTGAACACAAGCTGCAAACATCCATCTCCATCTCCTACTAATTTGTTTTAAATTCAAGGCAATTTATATGATGAAAGATTAGTAATTAATATAGTTCAGTGTTTATAATCACTTCTGTAGTGCACAGTATACTAATATAGGAACAGAATGAGATCAATAAACCCAACTGTCATTTCCTTCCACATATTTAGAAGATTACTAAGCTTTAAATAAGTGCTGAAGTGAAACTGAAAAAACTGAAGTAATTTATTCATGTTTAAATTTTGCTGATATTGACCCTTCAGTTTTTACTGCTAGATTTATGTTCAGATCCAACATTTTGATGGCTACCAAATTGGAAGCAGCGAAAGACAAAGCGTTACCTTCAAAAGGTCTTTGTGCAAAGACTGCTGTAAGGACTTGATTTTTGGTGTTTAGTCGTTAAGTCGTGTCTGACTCTTCGTGACCCCATAGACCAGAGCACGCCAGGCCCTCCTGTCTTCCACTGCCTCCTGGAGTTGGGTCAAATTCATGTTGGTCACTTTGATGACACTCTCTAAACATCTTGTCCTCTGCCATCCCCTTCTCCTCTTGCCTGCCCACTTTCCCAACATCAGAGTCTTTTTCCATGGAGTCTTCTCTTCTCATGAGATGGCCAAAATATTGGAGCCTCAGCTTCAGGATCTGTCCTTCCAGTGAATACTCAGGGTTGATTCCCTTCAGAATGGATAGCGCTGATCTCCTTGCAGTCCAGGGGACTCTCAAGAGTCTCCTCCAGCACCACAATTCAAAAGCATCAATTCTTCGGCAGTCAGCCTTTGTTATGGTCCAGCTCTCACTTCCACACATCAGTACTGGGAAAACCATAGCTTTATGTCGGCAAGGCGATGTCTCTGTTTTTTTAAGATGCTGTCTAGGTTTTTGTTTTTCCGCCCAAGAAGCAGGCGTCTTTTAATTTCGTGACTGCTGTCACCATCTGCAGTGATCATGGAGCCCAAGAAAGTAAAATCTGTCACTGCCTCAATATCTTCCCCTTCTATTTGCCAAGAGGTGATGGGGCCAGTGGCCATGATCTTAGTTTTTTTTTATGTTGAGCTTCAGACCATTTTTTGCGCTCTCCTCTTTCACCCTCATTAAGAGGTTCTTTAATTCCTCCTCACTTTCTGCCATCAGAGTGGTATCATCTGCATGTCGGAGGTTGTTGATATTTCTTCTGGCAATCTTAATTCCGGTTTGGGATTCATCCAGTCCAGCCTTCCGCATGATGTATTCTGCATATAAGTTAAATAAGCCGGGGGACAATATACAGCCTTGTTGTACTCCTTTCCCAATTTTGAACAAATCAGTTGTTCCGTATCTATTTCTAAACGGTTGCTTCCTGTCCCACATATAGATTTCTCAGATGGATAAGGTGGTCGGGCACTCCCATTTCTTTAAGAACTTGCTATAGTTAGCTGTGGTCCACACAGTCAAAGTCTTTTGTGTAGTCAATGAAGCAGAAGTATATGTTTTTCTGGAACTCTCTGGCTTTCTCCATAATCCAGCACATGTTAAAAATCTGGTCTCTAAAGGACTTGATAGGCCGCATCAAAGTGGATGAGGTGGTAGCCTTGCAATCAGAAGCCAAGCTGCCTAGAGAAATAAGAGGCTTAAGGGATGTCCGATTATCTTTCAAACCACAAAGAAGTTGCAGTGATTTGGTGACCAGTCACTGAAAAGCAAACACTAGCCTTTGCTTGTATATGGATTGTGAACATATAGAACCTTTGAAGAACACCATCTCCAGGAATTTAACTTTTTATCACCTTCTAACTCTGAATCTTTCCAGATTCTCCCCTTGATCAGTCTGCTGTTTCATTCAGGAAAAATATGCTGGAGACTCTAGTAAGCAAGTGCTTACTGCAACTTAAATTCCTTTATGCAATAAAATTCCAAATAAATAGAAAAGGACAGTCTTTCAAAGAGTTAAGAGCTATATTTGCCTTGCTAAGACTTTTTTTTGGGGGGGGGAAGTTAGCAAACTTTAGGAACGTGGTGGCACTGCGGGCTAAACCACAGAAGCCTGTGATGCAGGGTCAGAAGACCAGCAGTCGTAAGATCGAATCCACGCAAACTTTACCTGTTGAGGTAGTAGCTGACTAGTAGTTGCTAAAGGAGTTGCTGAACTGCTGTATTGAATGGAGTGCACCTGGAATCCAAACTGGAAATAACATATTCCACAAAGATAACATTCTATATATATGTAACATATTGGGGAGCAAGTTAGTAAAGAACACTGTATCTGCAACAGGTATTCTTAGGTATTTGTAAGCTCCAGAAAGTTAAATACTGAAAAACAACATACTACAGTCCCATTTTGTCACATATCTACACCCTCTATCATATCAACCATTTTATAAATGACTACATAAAGTAGAAATAGGCAGAGGTTGTTAGTTTGAAACCCTTTTCATAGAATAATGGAGCTAGAATTCATTTGTGGCTCTGCTGCAAGAGCACAGACAGAATTAAAGAGTTGACAGTAGATACAAAGTGAGAAATTTAAAACATTTTTATTGGAATGAGACAAACAGCAGAAATTATATTCCTGTACCATGCTCAAAGCAGAACAGTTCTCACTAAAAATTACATTTACAGCTGAGAAGCTTGTGAATTATATCTTGTAAAAAACAATTAAAGCTCAACTTTTAAGCTTCTATCTTTATAATAGGTGTTCGAAAGCATTCTTGCCTGAATTAAGAATTCAAATGATAAAAAAAGGAAGATGGTACTATCTCCAGATTCCTTTTGTCTATTCGCCACTTCCAGATCAAGAGCAACAGATTCCTCTTTGTCTACTTAAGTTCTCTTGAAGTGTGATAAATTTCTTATTTTAAAAAAATTAAACAAAATATGCATATTTATTCAGCATTTTAAGTGCCATCATTATTAGCAATAAGTTTCACCTCCTGGAATGATTCCTTTTTCTTTCAGTTTCAGCTGAACTCTCAGAATTTGGAAGAAGAGTTTAAGATCTGTCCATATACAGAGATTTTTAAAACTGTGTCAAACATTTAAAAGGAAGGGGAGATTAAAAGGATGCTCTTTTTAAAGTGCAGCAGAAAACCAAGGTAGTTGCCCCTTACAGCCACACATAGGTGTTAAAAACAAAATGAAAATCCTGGCGTATCGGCTTAGCTCAAAATCAGTCCAAGGCCTCTTCTCTTACATCACCTACAGCACACCTGAAAAGTCAGTTTTTGATAAAGCAGTATTTTGTAAGTTAGTAGAAAAGAGGACAAATAAGAGACAAATAACTTTGGGGGAAGCACCCCCTTTTCAATGCATTTATTTTTCAATATCATCAGAACACAGTCCAGAGGTCCAGCATTTGCACAGTCAATCTGCTTCAAGAAGCTTTGTTTTTAAAAACTAAGACAGGAAAGCGGCACCAATTCCAGAGTTCTTCCTTTCAGGAATTCTTAGAATGAGCATGTATAGTAGCAAATGTATGGATGGCAAGTCTTGTGTTTGAACCTCCATCAAGAATATTACAAGATGAGATGACAGACTGTAGGGCCTGAGCATAGGCTGAAAAGGAAAGGAATACATTAGGTTCTGTATTAAACTGGGAGAAAGCAGAGGCAGAGAGAGGCATAACTGAGGTTCCTAGAATTATGCACAGACTATTCAAAGGATTTTTTTTCTTCTCCTTTAAGAGAAGCCATAGATTCAAATAGTTTTCAAACAGGGTTTAAACTGTAAACTAAGCCTCCAATTTAAACAGTAATTAAGAGCAACAAGAGTACTAAAATGTGCCCCATATCAAGAAATGACAGCACAGGCAAATTGTCTGAAATAACTGGAAACCATTTCTTCTTTCTTTTGTAGTTCCACGAATGTTTGAGAAGATACTCCCCTTCCCCCTTGTTAAGGTTGAGCTCTGCAGCCTTTAAATTCACAAGCTTATAACCTTCAAAATAATAGGTTAGCAAAAGACAGATATTGACAATGAACAATGCACAATAGTCAGATTAATGATTTGTAGGATGTCTGTGGTCAACAGCATCAATTACATCTTTTACACAAAGAACAAAAATATTAAATTCAGTTTTTTTTTCTTATTGGAAGAAAGCATGAATAAGCCTTTCAGGGAATAGCTATATGAAGAGAGGTCTTTATTATTAGCTGTATGGTGAATGATCATGTTTGGAAAGCAAGTGGCAGCTTCTTGATATTCTGGAGTAGATCAATACACAAATTTATATAAAGAATACTCAGTTGCTGTTAGTAGTAAGGGAATAATGAGATAGGTCAAAAGACCAAATGCATACCTTTGTGGTTTTTATAAAAGACACAGTTGTTGGCACAGCTATCTGGATGAGAGTCCCAGAAATCAGACCCACAGAAGCACAATGGAGGCAAATTGATATTGTACATTTTGATCTTCTCCTGCATCTGGGCACGTAATGCTTCTACATATCTGGAAAACACAAGCACACACAAGAATCTTGTTTCCGTTAAGGGGCAGAAAAAGATTTATGATTACCTGTTGTAAAACTTGGATTTGTACAGTGGTGCCTCGCTTAGTGAGGTTAATCCGTTCCGGATTAACCCTCGCTCAGCGAATCCATCGTTAAGTGAAATAAAAAAGCCCATAGGAACGTATTAAAACTGATTTAATACGTTCCTATGGACTTAAAACTCACCGTTCTGCGAGTTTCCTCCATTGCGGTGGCCATTTTGGATGCCTCGTTAGCGAGGCAAAACAGCGGTCACCATTTTGTTTTAGCAGCGGCCATTTTGGAACCGCCGATCAGCTCTTCGCTATGCTTTGATCGTGTCCGCGCGATCATCGCATAGCGAAAAAAGCCCATAGGGGCCATCGCTGAGCGAACGCTCCAGCGATGGCCCGGGACCCCTCGTTGTGCGGTTTCATCGCATAGCGAAGCGTTCGCTATGCGAGGCACCACTGTATTACCTTGTTAGCACAGACACAGTGATCAAGGGATACTGGGGTAACCTTAACTTGGTGCCCTTTAGAAATTTTGGACTATGGTTCTTATCAGCTCTAACCAGTTTGACCAATGATCAAGGATGATGGCAGTTACGGTCCAAAGCAGATGGGGGACAATAGTTAGAGAAGGTTGGCAGACAACAGACACACAAGATGGAAAACCAAACCAAGTATCCAGAACGCCCAAGCCAAACCAGGATGACTGCACCCCCCATCAAGTTTGGGGCAATGAACATCTTTTAACTTAATGCTGAAATGATGCAAACATTTGTGGCAAGCAGGCCTCCAACTAGGAAGTGGGCTGAATTAACAATTAGGTCACCAATGCCAAGAAATCTCTCTCATGTCGTCACTTATCCCAATAGTGGGACACAGAAAAATGTTTCCTCAGCAGACCTTAGTGCTTAGGCAAGTACAGTATAGATAGGGAGAGACTCTCAAGTATCAGGTTGACAACCTGGTTCTCTGGAGAGTATCACTAACCAATATCAAGATGATCCTGAACCAGCTGAGTTTTAGCTGTCTTTGCTGCTAATGCTTTCAGTCAAGGTAAGACTATCTCTATGAAGAATAAACAAGGAGAGTTCCGATGTCTCTCCCAGAAAGTCTACTTGGTCACTAGGAAACAAGATTCAGTGGTGTCAAACCTTGGCCCTCCAGATGTTCTTGGACTTCAACTCCCAGAAATCCTGGCCAGCAGAGGTGGTGGTGAAGGCTTCTGGGAGCTGTAGTCTAAGAACATCTGGAGGGTCAAGGTTGGACACCACTTAAATACTGTGGCCTCAGACGGAAGATCTGAGATGCTCAATTATAAAGAAAGACTCTCTCAGATATTTCTGCTTACCGCCCATACTCTTTATTTCTCTGTTGTCTTTCCACTACCTTTTTCTTCTCTTTTGCATCCTCCAATCTAAGATAATCCAATTTTGCACAAGCCTCCACCCCAGAGTTAGCATCTCTCTGGGCAGCTTGTTCCTGGATCCTCTGTTTCTCTATACGGTGCCTCTCCTGAATCCGTTGTTCCTCTGCATGGCGCTCTTGCTCTTTTTCTTTCTTAATTCTGCAGGCAGAAGCAGGAATTTTCAAAAATCATATGCTGAAAGAAACTACAAGACCACCATGATCTCAGCTCTGTTCTTAAATTTCTGTTTAAAATAAAGTGACAATAGTAAACTCTTATTTAAAAGGAATTAATATTCCCTCATTTCAACAAGGTCCAGGGTTGGTAAATACGGCAAGAGTTTGAAAGTTCAAATCCTATATCTTTGAGGATTTTTTGTATTATGCACTGTATTGCACATAGCCAAAATCCTGTTGCTTGCTGTTGTTGTTGTTTAGTCATTAAGTTGTGTCCGACTCTTTGTGACCCCATGGACCAGAGCACGCCAGGCCCTCCTGTTTTCCACTGCCTCCCAGAGTTCAGTCAAATTCAAGTTGATAGCTTCGATGACACTGTCCAATCATCTCGTTCTCTGTCATCCCCTTCTCCACTTGCCTTCACACTTTCCAAACATCAGGGTCTTTTCCCGGGAGGCTTCTTTTCTCATCAGACGGCCAAAATATTGGAGCCTCAGCTTCAGGATCTGTTCTTCCAAGTGAACACTCAGGGTTGATTTCCTTTAGAATGGATAGGTTTGTTCTCCTTGCAGTCCAGGGGACTCTCAAGAGCCTCCTCCAGAATCACAATTCAAAAGCATCAATTCTGCGGCAGTCAGCCTTCTTTATGGTCCAGCTTTCACTTCCACACATCAGTACTGGGAAAACCCTAGCTTTGATTATGAAGACCTTTGTCGGCAAGGTGATGTCTCTGCTTTTGAAGGTACTGTCGAGGTTTGTCATCAGTTTCCTCCCAAAGCAGGTGTATTTAATTTCGTCCAGAATCACAATTCAAAAGCATCAATTCTGCGGCAGTCAGCCTTCTTTATGGTCCAGCTTTCACTTCCACACATCAGTACTGGGAAAACCCTAGCTTTGATTATGAAGACCTTTGTCGGCAAGGTGATGTCTCTGCTTTTGAAGGTACTGTCGAGGTTTGTCATCAGTTTCCTCCCAAAGCAGGTGTATTTAATTTCGTCGCTGCTGTCACTGCCTGCAGTGATCATGGAGCCCAAGAAAGTACTGTAAAATCTGTCACTGCCTCCATATCTTCCCCTTCTATTTCCCAGGAGGCGATGGAGCCAGTGGCCATGATCTTAGGTTTTTTTTTTATATTGAGCTTCAGAACGTATTTTGCGCTCTCCTCTTTCACCCTCATTAAGAGGTTCCTTAACTCCTCCTCACTTTCTGCTATCAGAGCGGTATCATCTTCATATCTGAGGTTGTTGATACAGTATTTCTTCTGGCAATCTTAATTCCGGTTTGGGATTCCTCCAGTCCAGCCTTTCACATGATGTATTCTGCATATAAATTAAATAAGCAGAGAGACAATATAAAGCCCTGTCATATTCCTTTCCCAATTTTGAACCAATCAGTTGTTCCATATCCAGTTCTAACTGTTGCTTCCTGTCCCACATATAGATTTCTCAGGAGATGGATAAGGTGGTGAGGCACTCCCATTTCTTTAAGAACTTGCCATAGTTTGCTGTGGTCCACACAATCAAAGGCTTTTGTGTAATCAATGAAGCAGATTTTTTTTTGGAACTCTCTGACTTTCTCTATAATCCAGTGCATTTTAGCAATTTGGTCTCTAGTTCTTCTGCCTCTTCGAAATCCAGCTTGTACTTCTGGGAGTTCTAGGTTCACATACTGCTGAAGCCTACCTTTTGAGCATAACCTTGCTAGCATGTGAGATGAGTGCAATTATATGGTAGTTGGAGCATTCTTTGGCACTGTCCTTCTTTGGGATTGGGATGTAGACTGATCTTTTCCAATCCTCTGGCCACTGCTGAGATTTCCAAACTTGCTGGCATATTGAGTGTAGCACCTTAACTGTGTCATCTTTTAAGATTTAAATAGTTCAACTGGAATGCCATTGCCTCCACTGGCCTTGTTGTTAGCCATGCTTTCCAAGGTTCATTTGACTTCTCTCTAGTATGCCTGCCTCAAGGCCAGCAACCACACTATCTGGGTTGTCTGGTACATCGAAATCTTTCTGGTATAATTCTTCTGTGTATTCTTGCCACCTCTTCTTGAGGTCTTCTGCTTCTGTTAGGTCCCTACCATTTTTGTCCTTTATCATGTCCATCTTTGCACAAAATGTTCCTTTAATATCTCCAATTTTCTTGAACAGATCTCTGGTTTTTCCCTATTATTTTCATCTGTTTCTTTGTGTTGTTCATTTAAGAAGGCCTTCTTGCTATTCTTTGGAAGTCTGCATTCAGTTTTCTGTAACATTCCCTATCTCCCCTGCATTTTGTTTCCCTTCTCTTCTCTGCCATTTATAAGGCCTCATTGGACAGCCACTTTGCTTTCTTGCATTTCCTTTTCTTTCGGATGGTTTTTGTTGCTGCCTCCTGTACAATGTTATGAGCCTCCATCCATATTTCTTCAGGAACTCTGTCCACCAAATCAAATTCCTTAAATCTGTTCTTCACTTCCACTGTGTATTCATAAGGGATTTGGGTTAGATTATACTTGACTAGCCTAGTGTTTTTTCCTACAATTTTTGTTCAGTTGAAGCTTGAGTTTCGCTATAAGAAGCTGATGATCAGAGCCACAATCAGCTCCAGGTCTTGTTTTTGCTGTGCCTGACCACCTTACATCTCAATCTTTGGCTGCAGAGAATATAATCAATCTTATTTTGGGTATTGCCCATCTGGTGATGCCCATGTGTAGAGTCGTGTCTTGTGTTGTTGGAAAAGAGTGTTTGTGATGACCAGCTTGTTCTCTTGACAAAACTCTATTAGCCTTTGCCCTGCTTCATTTTGAACTCCAAGGCCACACTTACTTGTTGTTCCTTTTATCTCTTGACTCTCTACTTTAACATTCCAATCCCCTATAATAAGAACACCTTTTTTTGGTGTGAGTTCTAGAAGTTGTACGTCTTCATAGAGTTGGTCAATGTTAGCCTCTTCAGCATTGGTGGTTGGTGCATAAACTTGGATTGCTGTGATGTTGAAAGGTCTGCCTTGGATTCGTATTGAAATCATTCTATCATTTTTGAGATTGTATCCCAGTACAGCTTTTCCCACTCTTGTGTTGACTATGAGAGTTATTCCATTTTTTTTCTACGGGATACTTGCCCACAAGAGTAGATATAATAATGGTCTGAATTGAATTTGCCCATTCCCGTCCATTTTCATTCACTGACGCCCAGGATGTCAATGTTTATTCTTGCCATCTCCTGTTTGACCACATCCAACTTACCAAGGTTCATAGATCTTACATTCCAGGTTCCTGTGCAGTATTTTTCTTTTCAGTATCGGACTTTCCTTTCACTTCCAGGCATGTCCGCAGCTGAGCATCCTTTCGGTTTTGGCCCAACCACTTCATTAGCTCTGGAGCTACTTGTCCTTGTCCTCTGCTCTTTCTCAGTAGCATGTTGGACGCCTTCCAACCTGAGGGGTTCATCTTTCAGCATCATATCTTTTAGCCTTTTGTTTCTGTCCATGGAGTTTTATTGGCAAAGATACTGGAGTGGCTTGCCAGTTGCTGCTCCAGGTGGATCATGGTTAGGCAGAACTCTCCACTATGACCTGTCTGTCTTGTGTCTCCATGCACAGCATAGCCCATAGCTTCTCTGAATTACCCAAGCCCCTTCACCACGACAAGGCAGCAATCCATGAAGGAGATGAACTCCTCTATAACTTCCATTGAACCAAATCGGCCTACTCTAACTGCAGTTTACTATGCAAAAGTCACAATTGGGGTCGGCCTATTTGAATTAATGGGATTTAACACAGGAATTGACTCACCAAATCCTAACTGTTTCAGGAGGTCTACTCTAGTGCAATTTACAATGCTAAGCAACGGTATTCTGGCCATTGTCTAACTATCACTTTCTCAACCTGTTAGCATTGTTTGGATCAGCTGCTTTCTACAAAGCCACTGTTGATTATGGGTGGTGTAGTGTAGTTGCTAGGAGAAGCAGCTGTAAGTCAGGAAGTACTTGGTTCAAAGATAAGGAAGCGAAGTTTAGGCTGAATATCAGGAAAAACTTAACTGTTGGAGTGGTACAACAAAGAAACCAATTACCTTGGGATGTGGTGAGTAATTGGAGGCATTCAAGAGAACATTGGACAACCATCTAGATCTGTTTTGATTTGGATTCCTGCCTTGAGCAGGGGTTGGACTTGATGGCTTTATAGGTCCCTTTCAACTCAATTATTCTATGATTCTCTAACTGTATCCTCAGGGAAGGACAGCATATGTGTGTGTGGTAACTACTTTATTAAATCTGGAAAAGTCTATATTATGGCATTCATACAAAGAATTATCTTTTTTTAATTGGAAGAAAAAGGAATTTTTAAAAAGTCTAAATTGTTGAAATACACACACTGAGCAACCATGTAATATTTTAAAGTAGAATCAAAATAAAAAGGAAGAGCACTAGCAAAATGTAAACAATAGCACATGCTAGAAAGCGCTAGTGGCGCTGTGGGCTGAACCGCAGAAGCCTGTGCTGCAGGGTCAGAAGACCAAGCAGTTGTAAGATCAAATCCATGCGACAGAGTGAGCGCCTGTCGCTTGTCCCAGCTCCCGCCAACCTAGCGGTTCGAAAGCATGTAGATGCGAGTAGATTAATAGGGACCACCTCGGTGGGAAGGTAACAGCATTCCGTGTCTAAGTCGCACTGGCCATGTGACCACGGAAGATTGTCTTCAGACAAAACGCTGGCTCTATGGCTTGGAAACGGGGATGAGCACTGCCCCCTAGAGTCGAACACGACCGGACAAAAAATTGTCAAGGGGAACCTTTACCTTTACCTTTACCTAGAAAGCTATACTGAAACACAGCAATATATCCAGGGAACGGAGGATCAAAAGTTTTCTGGAAGAAATTAGCTGATATAGTGGCTGAAAGGGAATCAACTCAAACTCAAGAGACATCAGGATGGTCCACAAAATGTAGTGGGCAACCTTTGACCTTCCAGATGTTCAGGCCTACAATTCCTATTGGCCTCAAATAACATGGTCAAGGAACTGTGGGACTTGTAGGCCACAATACAGAGAGGCCAAAGATTCACCATCTCTTCTACATGCCTCTTGTTTCAGAAGTCACTGTAGATCTTTAGCTTTATAAATGGCTTTAAAGGAGGCTAAGACTATTTAGGGAGTAGAAGCTTATTACAGCAATCTGTAGCTATGAATGCTAAATGATACCCGTTGCTACTGTCTTCATGACTTGCAATGAGGTTTGGACACCATGTGACATAGAATGCTGGTGTAGATGGACATTTAATCTCATCCAACAAGACTGTCAGGAGAATGTCATATAACTGTTACCAGCTTTCTGAGCCAAATCTGGGGGGGAAAAGTACAACAATTTACAAAGGAAAAATATTTGTTTAACAAATCCATACTGCTCAGTAAAAGTGATACCCACTTCACATTTCTCTGCCTCCAGCAATCTCTTTAAAATACAGTATTTGTACAGGCTTTATTGTAGCAACATTAAAGATTTCACTAGCACAAATCTGTGGGAGCAAAGGCAGGTGAACTTCGCACTACAGAACTAACTGCAGAAGACTGTCTTGCTCTGTTTTATAGGAAGACTGTGCAACTATATGTGAGGGCAAACTGGGCGAAGGACGATTCTACTATGGAAGGAGAAGATGCCTCAAGTGTTAATTGAGAAATTACACGTGTTTCTGGGTGCAATTTGTTTTTGTACCAAAGTCATTTTATTTTAATTTAGACAATAAAAGAAACTGCAGTTGAAGGCCAGATCTGCTCCAAAATGAAAGTCAAGTGAATGTTTCAGTGTCCTGCAATTCCCAGACTTATCACTGTGTTCAAGTGTGGCCACAAGAACGAGGATGAACATGGAAGCTTTATGCTTGTAGAGTCAAGAGGGCAGGTTAAATGTTGTCTGGAAGAGTTTTCCAGACATTGCAAGAATAGCAATTCTTCTATTTGTTTTCATCATTGAATCCCTTAATGTTAACATACCACAGTATTTCTGTTTGTAACAATTCTTCCATTTTGCCATCATCATCTTAGATACAGCACAAATAAATGAAATGTTAAAAGATAATAAATTACATACTTATCCATTTTTCTCTGCCATTCCTTCTGCCTTTGTTGCTCCTTTACTTGTTCTCTTTCAATATCCATGAAGAGCCGCCTGTATCTCAGGTACTGGCTTTGACGCTGCAGGAGAGAGGTATTTCAGAGCAGTGCACAGCATGGAACCAACACTGCCCAAAACACACTTCAGTTCCACCTAGGGCACTGCCCATATCCACTCCACTTGCTTAACCAAAGACAAAGACAGCTATAGCCCACTCCACTACATGGACTAAGCTTTGACCATCCGCTATCTGGCTCTTTCTGTCCCAGAAATCAGCTCAGTGGCTACGCTACGCACTCCATTTTTACCAGTTAAAACCTAAGTTGGCTGAATCTGCTCATTTTCTTGCTTCCTTCCAAGCACTCTGCACTTTTTATATTACGTCTATCAGACTGAAAGCCTGCGTTTGGAACTGCATTTTTAAAATTGTTGTGTCTATAAAACACTGGTTGCTTCACAGTATTTTCTAAAAAAAATCAACTGTACATTTAAGAAAAGAGGAACTGGGGTAACAATCCCGGATCAATTAATCACTTCAGAATCTCTTAGAATATTTTCTTAATACCTTGTTTTCTTAATAATGTAAAATGACAGAGCTTCTTTCTTTACACAATCTATCACATCATATTATTCTGTGGTTTAGTAAGAACTTGCTTTCAGGGTTTCATCACTGCAATTATATTTACCGAGGAGAATAAAATGTTTATATATTCTAGCATGCTTCAGAGTCATGTCATTACAACCTACTGGAGCAGTTCAATTAGAGACACAAACCTCTTGAACTAGATTCCCCTCTGCTGGCCGGTAATTAAACCACAACAACTTCCATTTATGAAACCTCACAAATTCTAACGTTTGACTTATTCCAAAACTCATACCCCTAAGTCCAAAATCAGAGGATTTATATTAATTGCATACTCTAGGCACATTTGACAATAGATATGTTACCCTTCTGATTTGTGGTAACTATGTGAGCCCCTATCTAAGATCTTGCAAACCAACGGTGCTTCATGTTAAGTTGTTTTCTCTTCCAACTGCCCCTCCACCAGCAAAATTGTCTTTTCAAGTAAGTTCTGCAAACTAGTCTTGCAAACTAACAGCTATGACTTCTTTTATTGAGACAATCTGTCTCATGTCAAGTCTTCTCTTCCTACCGCCTCTCCCCCCCTTTTCTCAGAGATATTCTTTTCTGGTCAGTTCTATATTCTCATTACAATATGCATGGTAGGAGATCTTGTTTACTCAGTCTTGCTCTTGTAAGAGTTCAGACTTGATTTCACCGAACATCCATTGATCTGCCCATCTGGTGTTCTGTGGTATCTGTAAGGCTCTCCTCCAACACCACACGTCAAATGAACAGATTTTCTTCTGTGCCTTTCTTTTACATAGTACAGATGATTTTGACCTTGGTTTCCAGTGGCAATCCTTGTGAACTCTGCCCTTTCTTTTCTTTATTTCAAAAGGTGACGGGGCCTCTTGTGGAAAATATGCACAGAAAACGTTTGTAGGGCTTCTGGTCATATACAGCTTTTCTTGCCTACCCCAAGGAAATTGGAAGACACCTTTCTAGCTTGCAATCTATGGAGCCGGCATGGCAACATTAGTTTACCTGTGAGGTTAAAGGTATGTATGGTTCTCTGTTGTATGTGCTGCATACACACCTTTGCTTCACCTTTTCATTAAGTCCAATATACAGTGGTGCCTCGCTTAACGTTTGCTTCGTTTAACGTTTTTTTCGCTTAACGTTTATTTTTTCAGAGGCAGATTGTGCTTCGTATAACGTTTTTCCCTATGGGCAATTTTCGCATAGCATTTTTGGGACCATGCTTTGCTTAACGTTTTTGGTTTTAGGTCCCCTGCTTTGCTTAACGTTTTTTTTGTTTTCAATTTAAAAAGTGTCTTAGAAGGGTCCAAAACGGTTCTAAATGCTTGGATTCGTTAGAGGACCCCTTAAGTCATGTGCAAACCTGATTTGGCTTTGATCTGACGTTTCGTTAATTTTTTGTGTTATGCGAGGCACCACTGTATATATACAAATATATTTATTTTTTCTAAGAGAAACTCCTCTCATGTAGAATCACCCAATTGCAAAGCCAGGAAATTACATTCTTAAAAAAAAGAAAAGAAAAAAGAAAAGAAAAAACCTCCCATTTATGAACATGGGGATACTGTGCTTCTGTATCCAAGATTCAAAACACTGGGAAGTCACCCAATATTCCATATATTGCCCATGCTACCAGCAGGAAAAAAGATGCCAGGCTTTAAATAGTAAATGGCAGCTTGCTTGTTGACAACACCAATGGCAGCTGTCAAGATGCTCTACACAGCATACCCTCTTGTGCTACCATTCACTTGCCAAAAAACAGCCCTGAAAATTGCTTTGTGTTTTGGTGAGAAGCAGTTAAATGACCGGGGGGGGGGAGAGCTGCTTGGATTTTCCCTTGCTTGGTTTCTTTTTGTGAATGGCACATGATCCCAGTCACAAACCAGATGGTGTGGTTTTTTTCTGAAGAATTGAATATGCGTACATACAATTGCCTTTTAAAATAAAAATGTTCAACAGCCTTTCCAATAAGGAGTGAGAGTAATCACACATGTAGTGATCACATCACTGAATTGTTCCTGATAGACACTCATTTTCAAGGCAGTTTAACCAAGGCTGCATACCTGTTTCTTTGACTCCTCTTTCTCCGTTTCAGACCAAAGTATCCAAGCAGGCCGATTCTCAGTGCCAGTTGCTGAAGAGCTCACTGGATAGGTACTTTTGAGTATCTCACTATTAACCTGCAAGAGGTGAAAAACAGACCAAACAACAAGGCTGAGAACTTGTCACATTATAACGTCATATTATAACGTTTTAGCAGGCTCTCCCAACTGAAGCCCCAAGTTGTGGCTTAAAGCATGTACAGCACCTACATATTGAGGGGGAGCTGCTACCTCTGTAATACCAAAAACAAATCTGAAAAAAAGCAGGCTGATGTGCTTGAGGAGCCTCTTCAAATGAGCAAAGATACAAAGAAACCAGGGAACAGCAGCCTTCATCTCCTTAAATAAAAGCAAAGCAAAATGCGTGCTGCTTATATACCGCCCCATAGCGCTTCAAGCACTCTCTCGGTGGTTTACAATTTAATTATGCAGGCTACACATTGCCCCCCCCCAAGCAAGCTGGGTACTGATTTTACCAACCTCGGAAGGATAGAATGCTGAGTCAACCCTGAGCCGGCTACCTGGGATTGAACCCCGGGTCGTGAGCACCGTTTTAGCTGCAGTACAGCAGTTTAACCACTGCACCACAAGGCTCTTGTAGACATATTTCTGTAATTAAAGTGATGATGGAGAGGAAGGGGCTAGCATATTCCCTTCAATGCACATGGGCTTTGCATGTTTTAAATGTAAATGAATACAGCTCAAGTGTCCCCTGTGGGAAGTCAACGGCATTAGTGTCTAGGATGAAAAGACCATAGTTTCACATATCTGAGGGGCAGCAGGTTGAAAAAGGGTTCTGTAATGTATTGCCTTTCTTCTTAGTTTCCCCTGAACATTCTTTATTGCAAGCTGACCAATGTAATGCAATGGCCAGAACATTTATGCCAGCATAAGCACAATGATGTGCCTCAGAGCAGTGAACCGTTTATTTATTATTCATCTATTCATTTATTTGTCATTTATAGGATGCCTTTCAAGGTTGATCACAGTGCTAAATAAAATTTAAAAACACAAGAAATTATACATTAAAAACAAGTTATTTACTTATTTAAAATATTTTACCCTTCCTTTCTCCAAAGCAGCTTACATCACTAAAACACAATGTTAAATCTAAAAACAGTATATAATTACTATATATTATTGCTATAATAATTAAAGTACACTGATTGATTTAAAACATTTAAAACTTTGAAAACAAAGATCTGCTAGAGGGGCCTCACCTGTGGGAACTGTATATTATATGGAAACACAAAGAAGGTCTTATCTCCTTGTGGCACCCTGATTTGTAGAGTGTTCTCTCTTCTTGGAGGCCAAGTAGCATCAATACCAATTTCCTTTTAATGCCACATGTAGATATGGCTGTTCAAGTGTTTAAAAATCTTGGCCTGATTAGGTTGTGGAGTCTTTACCTACATATGGCTTTAAACATTTCTGAAACCTTTATATTGTACTTCCCCTGAGATCTTGTGAAACAGAACAGGGAAAAAATATAGATTCCAAATAAATGAGAACAAAACAATAGCAAGGTGAAAGTTTAAGCCACTTTTAAAGAATACGTATTATTCCCCGATAGATACGTAAACAGAACTAGATACAGTATGACGCACAAGGCTGAGCTGAACCTTACTTTTTTCAACTCTACTGTATAATCCACTTCCTTTCTCTGCTGTCCTTGTTCCTCATTTCGCAGTTGTGCTGGAAGGTCATGGTATCCCACAAGAAGAAATTCGTGACGGTCACCCTCTTCTGCATTTACTGAAGTTGGCTTGCAAGATCCTGGCAGCTGAGCACAGATTTAGACATACATTTAAAAGTCCTCCTTCCATGCAAAGTCATTTTGCTGAGCCTGAGCAGCTGTTTTGAAATGTAATTGTAAGCCACGTTGAACTAATTAAGCTTCTTTAAAAGCAATATATAAATTATTCTGAATAAATTTTTAAAGGCACTGAACAGGAGGGATGGTTAAACATTACCTCTTAATTTATTTGAAATGTAATGTAACAGATTCACATGTGAGATTACCCCAAAATCTGTATAAGGTTGGAGGGGAGCACATTAAATCATACCCAAGGCAGGCTCAGAGAACTAAATCTCACCTCTATCCCCCTATACCTTAAAAACAGCAACAACAAAAGCATTTATTCCAGAAAGAATCTGAGGTACAAACACCACTCCTAGGAGAAATATCTTCTTTTTAAAAAGCTGCTGTACTTTAAATCTACCTGGTATCCCACAGTGGTTTTATAGGGAGTTGTCACTATCCACGCTCGTTAGTGTTATTAACACATCCAGTTGTGCCTTCTTAAGTTTTGAAAGTGGGAAAGAAAGCACCATTTTCTAAAGGCAAAGTTCACAACATCACAATAGTAACTTTCATATAATTATTGGCTGTGATGAAAAGCTAGGTAAGTTATCATAAGCTAATGTTCTAATTTCAAGAATCTATGTAACAGAAGATAAGACAAATCACACAACTGGAAATGATTTAAATAGAATGCATGAACTCACCTACCTAAAAGTCACCCAGTGTCAAATGTCAAATTCACTTTTCAGTAAGAATTAATTTGGCAGAACCTCCACTATGGTCTGCAGTTACTAATGAAATATATTCCAAGTAACTATTATGTTTCAAAGACAAAGTACATGTATTTGTGTCCCTTGTAGGAGAAAATAAAAATAATAATAATCTACCATCAAGTCAACTCTGACTTCTGACAATACTCAAAATATTTTAATCGTTCCCATCTTCTTGGGGGTACACTGGGAGTGTGCAACTTGCACACAGGCTGGGTCTACTTGTAGGAAAAAGGGGAGTAAACATATTTTAAATAAATAAAAGTAAATAAACTTATTATTAGGTGTTACAATTATACAACTTAACTTTCAAGATTAAAAAGGTCCTTCTAAGCCAGTATACAAGAAAAATTAAAATGCTTTCATAAATCCCACTATAAGCACTGACTCATTAAATCCAACTCTCAACGTAATTGATAACAGAGGAGGCCAGGTGACTGTCTTTGTATTTTTTGTCTCATATAACAAATTAAGGCCACTTTATTTAATACAGTATCTGAAATACTGAATACTAATAGTTAAATTATATCCTGCCTTTTCTCCAGTGGGGTCAAAGACAGGCCCATGGATCTCTCCCCAGCCCCTTTATCTTCTCAATACCCCTGGGCAGTAGGCCAAACTTAAAGAGAGTGACCAACACAGCATCACACACTGACTGAATGGGGACTTCAACTTGGATCTCCAAGATCCAGCCTAACAATCAACCATTATATTACATTGCTTGTCACAGTGGCTGTCACCTCTTTTTTTGGAAGGCTGTCCCAAATGCCTCCTGGAAGATCCAAAGGACCACCTTTTTCTGAGACAGATTTCCGAGAAGCCAGCCTGCGACGGACAGCCTGCTGCACAGTCTTCCTTACCTACGGAAAGAGATAAAGAGGCTACCAACAGAAATGATTCTTCCAGACAGTCCAGTACTTGATTGCTGCTTTTCTATTTACATACTGGTGTAGTTCAAGCAAGTGTTACTAGATAAGAAAATCCAGTGTTTGAGCACCCCAACCAAACCATCTTTCTTCAGATTTGAATTTGCAAAGGTTCTTCAGATTGTTTTCTTACAATAAGCTGCTGATTGCTTGATACTGTGGAAAGCAATGGTATGCCCATTTGGGCATTATCAATATGAAGTTATTTGGCATACATGGAGATATTCATCTATGTACCAACACATACAGTGGGGGGAGAACACCACTGGCAAGTGCATTGTAAATTTCTCTTTCTCCCCCCCCACAAAAACTTTCATTTCCTTCATCCCAATCTGAAGTAAGACATTCCAGATCTTTCTGCACATGAAACTTGTCCATACGTACAGTACTAACATTCTGCAACAGTAAAAATTACTCGCTCTTTCTGAGAGCCTAAAGAATTGAAGTCCAACAGAGAAAAAAAAGCTAAATACTTCTATTGAACATATGGTAAGAATCAGATTACTGCAGAGAGAAAAATACTCACTGTTTTGGCTTGCTCTAAACTTTTTAACTCTTCTGCTTTTTCTCCCCCATCTATCATGAGATTGGATTCCTGCACAGAAGTAACTCTGCTACCAGACCTGCAAATGGCAGAGTCTGTGCTGCATCTGTATAGACATGTGCTTTTCTTGGGGGTCAACTGCAGTGCAGAATCTGAGAATCCTATCACTACAGAGCTTTCTTTTAGAGCCTGTCAGGGAAAAAAGTGTAACAAAAGGACCAATAAATCCAAGCCTAATTTCAGTATAGGAAACAATAATTTAATGGTTTTGGCCCACTGCAGAAAAACAACGTTTTGTGGTTAGCTTTTCTTTAGTAGAAACAGAGGCAGTTTACCAATAAACCGCAAGTTAACTTTGGATTCTAGCGATTCTAAGACTGAAAATGATTTTCTTAGAGAAAGTGACCATGAGAAAGAGAAGTAAAAGGTATGTATCAGGCTGCACTGAAAATAAAGCAAGGAAAGGAAATCAAAGGCAATCTTTGCATCAAAGGATAAAAAAGCATAAACAACTTCCCTCAAGAACAAGAAACGACTAGCCCGCTCTCCTGTACAGGTTGTATCACAAAACATAGAGAACTTAGGCAAAGGATCATCATCATCTTAGATTCTAATTTACATTTACTGTATATGTTCTTGTGTGTGTCTATTTACAATTTACATCACTGGTTCTTAACCTTTGTTACCCAGATGTTTTTGGACTGCAACTCCCAGAAACCTTCACCATCAGCTCTGCTGGCTGAGGTTTCTGGCAGTTGCAGTTCAAAAACACCTGTAATTTACATTTATATGTTCTTGTGTGTGTCTATTTACAATTTACATTACAATTTATATATATATATATCCCCCCTCCCCAGCTCTGGCCACTCAACACTACCATCGCTCCCAGTTCATCCTTCTTCCCTATTTATGCTCAAGGTACATAAAAGTGTCTCACCTATTCATTTTCAAGAAAATAAAAAGGAGGGGAGAAAAATATAATGGCAGAATACATGTTTAAAATGTCAAATGTGCAGTTGTGTTTTTCCCCAAAACATCTGATCAATAGGGGAGGGAGCAGATTGGGACATGCATGGTCTGATGCCCTGGATGTATGTCCTTAAAAAAATATATTGAGGTGGGGGGGGCTATTCCTAATTTGCAGTCTGGGTCCGCCCCCATCTTCAAAATGGGAGAGAGGGTTGATTCTCTTATTCTCTGATTGTTTTTCAATCTGATTTAAGTCTTAAAAAACATAAAGAAATATTTGAAATGTTCAATGGATCTCCTGCCCAAAGGGGCGGGGGAAGGAGGTGATGCTCAAGAAGACCCTGGTAGGGAAAAACAAGCTGGAAAAGGAGAAGGGGAGGGAGGATCATAACTTTTCAAGTCAAAAATGTGCAACTGTGTGTGACCTACATACACCCTGAGCGGCAGGGAGGGCGTGGGCGTGTTCTTGAAGCGCCAGGGGTGGCTTCTGATTGGACCAGGCCTGGCGCTTATTTGAATAAAAGGAGGGTGGGGCAGAGAAAGAGGAGGAGGCAGGGAAAGGGTTACATAAAATGAAGGTGGGCAAAACCGCCCGGAGGAAGCAAGAAACGTTCCTTTTTTCAGCCCGCAGATGTGGGAAAGTAACTTTTCTAGACCATAGCGTCAAGCATCCATAGCAGCCAGCACAGGGAGAGTTGTGAATACACACCTCTCTCTCTGCATCCTTGGAAATAAAATGCCTGGGGATAATGAGGACGGTCGCGCTAACGCGACCATCCTCATTACCCCCCAGGATTTTCATTTTTACCCCAAAAGGGGCAAATTACCCCTGTTCCCCGACCACTGGCTTAAAACACCATGATGCAAATAATCACCACCAGTATTGAGACAAATCCTGTGTTTCATTGCATATTATGTCCATGCTTAAACAATGTCAATTTGAAGGAGAGATCCACCTGTGAAATTTATAAAAGGCAGCTAGATATTAGAATACATTGCCTTACAGCTTCATAGGATTTTTGCAGCTGCTGTTTTCTTCTTTGTTTAACACGCTGATTCACCCTGTGTTTCACTTCCTCTTGGAAATGTTTCAGAATTCTCTCCTTTTCTTTTCTCAAGTTTTTGTATTCTTCTTCAATCTGAGCTGCTGTTGCCTAAAATAAGCAGATTTGATTCAATTGTTTTAATCAGATGGGAAGCAGATAATATTCAGTTTAGCAATTAACCACAGGACAATTTTGGGTGAAACACTTAGCATAGGAGAGGAAATCTCTGGCTCTCTAACTATTTGACTTACAACACCAATCAATTCCCTCACAGTATGGTCAGAAAGTGAAAGAAACACCAGGAAAACACAAAAGACACTCCACCCCTCAAGTCTTATCAGTTTCTGGCATTCCAGAAAAGTATGAAGGATTACCTAGAATGTAATTTAATCTCACAAGGTGCTTCTTATTAACTTATTTAACAAGAATACTTAGCATCATTTCACACAGCTCATGCTGATGTAAATACACCTAAGAATGCACCCCTTCTTTGTAGCCTAAACATATGTGCAGAACAGAATTCTAGTTTAAAAAGGGATGAAGACTGCCCTGCAGAGGACTGAAAGCTCTTACTACTTCTTGCTTTAGCTGGTACAAACAGTGGGGAAGGACAATAGGAGCTGTAGTCTGACATATGAAAGGATATTACTCCTAGCTTAACAATAGCTACTGAGAAGGAGGGAAAAAAATGAAACATCAGTTACATAGGATAACACAGAATCATAACTTAACATGTAACAATACAAACAAGTATAATCTAGACAGAGGCCATAGCTCAGTTGCAGATCACATGTTCTCCATTCTGAAATTTCCAGACCAAATCTCCAGCAACTACAGTTTCAGGTTTCTGGATCTCCATGGAGCTGTTGTTGCACACTGAGACAGATAGTGAAAGTATCACTAGTAAACATCCTCAAACTGAACCAGAGGAGAAAAATTGCAGCAGACAATTTCATTCTGAACACTCACAAAAACTGGGCTCTCCTCCTGCCTTGCATCATCCTGAGCACTCTCGACCCAAGCTCCCACAGGTGCCACAAACTGTGTCCTCTCCGCTAACACCTTTAAGCTTACTGCTACGGATTGACCCCTCCCTTTCTTATCAGCTGTTCTCCAGGGATAGCATTGTTGTTGTTGCAGCTGCTTCATGGATAGTTGCATCTGGACAACTGAGAAGACTCAAGCCTGGGAGGAGTGTCTGCTGAAATGCAAGAGAAAGAGAGAGAAAAAAAGGAAACAACAATTTAGCTTTCTTGTTCAGCAAACATTTATATAAGTCAGGGAGACTCATGGAACTGAGCTAAACCTAACAGTTACCCTGGTGTTTGGCATAATTAGACACATGCTTTTTCTACTTATGACAATTTTGTTTTAATACTTTCTAAGTACTTAGACACTGACATTGGTTTTCACTCACTTTGTAAACTACTTCAGATACTATTAAAGCTGAGAAGCTGTTTTTAAATACACTGTATAACACCAACTAATTTTTAAGACCAAATGACTGTTTCTGTTGTTTTAGAAATCCTCATTTTCTGTCAATTAGCCCCCCCCCACTGCAAACTTTATTTTAGTTGGGACTAAAAACTGGATTTAAGTCTTGATCTTTGGCCCTCCTCCAACTGTTACCCAACAGCCAGTATAAACAACAAATGCAGACTTAATATCAAGTGAAAGTCACATTTTGTCTTGCCAGGCAAGTACATCAATTAAAAGGGAGGGGGTTTTGAGAAGTTGCCACTCTTGCGTAGATAGATTAGCTGCTATATTAAAATCAATAGCTACGAAACAACATAAAAACTCAGAGGCCAGCCTATTTCCACCCTGGCTTAAATTGCCTACAGATGCTCAGCGCCACATCCTGCCCATATATTCTTACTATGTATGATACACATATGATACCTTATGTTCCTGTACTAGTTCTTAGTACAACTTTGCTTTTAAAATCTCTTGTAAATTTCTTTGAGATCCTCATGGGGCCGATAAAGCAAGATGGAAGCACTCAGGAAAATCAAATTAGTGAAGAAAACAATGGCACACCTTTGGCCCCACAAGCCTTTCTCGTGTGTCCGTCACACCTTTCGGGAAGACCGATTCCACAGACCCGAGCACGGCACTCAGCGAGGGGAGTCCTCCTCTCCCAGATGCTTCCTGCCTACCTGGGCTCTACCTGCGCCGCTGCCATGGCAACCAAGGGACCGCGCCCTCCTCGCGGGACCTAACACCTGCCCTGCGGAGCTGGCACCGATTCCACAGACCCGAGCACGGCACTCTCCCAGATCCTTCCTGCCTACCTGGGCATTACCTGCGCCGCTGCCATGGCAAGCAAGGGACCGCGCCCTCCTCGCGGGACCTAACACCTGCCCTGCGGAGCTGGCGGTGCCGGAGCCATGGCAACCCCCCTAGGCCTCACGGGATGGGCCGCCGGGAAAAAAAACCCACCCACCGACCCCCTCGGGCGGAAGCACCCGCTGGACTTCTCTCTTTTTCCGCCCGACTTTGGGCTACGGCTTCCATCCCGTCCCTAAACGTCGCTTTGAAATCGCGCGCCGCTTCCCGCTCGGCAACGACTTGGCCCCGCCTTCCCCGTCCACCCGTCCGCCAATCCCGCGGAAGAAGAGATGACGTCACCTCCGTCAGTTCCGCCCGCACCTGCTGGTGGAAGCCTTCGTTTAGCGCCGCGGTTGGCCTGCCCTTCTCCTGACTATCCCGCCCATTGAACGTTTCCTTCGCCAGTCAGTTGCCTTGGCCGCTCGGCAGGCAGATTCTGGCTCTTTGATTGGACAATTAAGCCTTTATAGCTGTCAATCAAGCGGCAGCGTATATGAAAGCTGTGGTTTCGCGCTGTAACTTTCGGGGGAAGTTGGTGTCTGTTGATTGAGTTGGTGTTAAAAAAAAGCACCTTTTACAACTTCTGGTTCTTACACTGACAATAGGGAATATAGTCGTGGTTAGGGATACCTTTAACTTGGACTCTTGCTCCCTCGCTTTCGTGCCTGCCGGGAAAAGTGGGAGGTGTAGAAAGACGCTTTGTCTGGCAACCCAACATTTATTTTGAGCTTTTTCTTTACCAGTGCATGGGAGGAAAGGAAAAAAGAAAGAGGATTGCAGGGTGTTGGAGACAGCAGCAAGTGGGGACACCTCGATTCCCCAGCCCAGAGGTCGTTCAGTTCCAAAGTGATTTGAAGTGGCTTGGATTCAGCATTTTGGGGTTGGGTGGGGGGGGTGGCCTATTTTAAGCAGAGTCAGTCCAACTCAAACCCAATGGAGATTTTATAGCCATGATGTGGAGCCACTTCCCAAACCTCACACTTGCACCAGGACCCACTCGTTTATACAATTCTGGCAGCAGAGACGATCGTTCTGTCGAGGGAATTCTTTGAAGTGGAGATAAAACAGTTCAAAGATGAAGATAAAACAGTTCAAAGCAGTTGAAGAGGAGCTAGCTAAGCACTTTTACCTCACACACACAAAAATAATAATAATGACCCGATTTATTTTTATTTTTTTCAAACAACAGCAAAGGAAGTCAGTCTGCCTTTTATTATGACCATGGATGCTCTTGTCCAAAAGTCTGTCTAGGAAGAGCTTTGTCAGGAATGATCAGGAACAAATCTGCTATCTTAGGGCTTGATTACATGTCAGAAAAGAACCCCTGATTCTTTTCATCCCTCTCTTATTCTGATACTTATGAGACAAAGTATTATATTTTTGCTCCAAAAATGCATTAGGGCTTATTTTTAGGGGATGTTTTATTTTCATGTACAACAATCGACATTTATTCAAATACAGTTATGCCATCTTATGGTTGCTGCACAAGGGTGGAGGGTGGGGTTTCACTTAATTGGGGCTTATTTTGGGGATAGAATTTATATTACGGTCATCCTGAAAAATCATACTAGTGCTTATTTTCAGGGAAATGGGGTGGGAGTGTTTACATTGTTTGGAAAATGTGTCAATTCATTACCTTCTATTTAAAGGATAATACATTCCTTTTAGTTTTGTATCGATTCATTTTCTCTACTGTTTTTTGGGACAATCAGGTCCTCCCCTGACCTCTTAATTTCTTACCAAATGTGATATATTGATAGAATGATACTAGCCTTCTTTCTTCATTTTCCTCTTTTTCCTTCCCACCTTTACTCATTCATCCCCTTTTTCTTATTTTTCTGCACATTTCTCCTTCTAACTTCTTGGCTTTCATTTTTATTTTTCCTTTTGGAAAGTGACAGGAGGAAGCAGGTTTTAAAAGACTTGCAAAGGATTCTGATGAGTAGGGTTTTTTTTTAAAGAGAGAGGAGGCTTTAGTACAACACCCCTTCCTTTACAATTGAAAGCAGGAAATGTCCCTTTCTTCATTCAAGCCCTCTTTTACCTGCAAGGTGGGGGAAGGCTGTCTCTTTCTGAGCAATGTTTGTGGCGGCGGCAGCTGCTATTACTAGTGATTTAATGATATCCTTAAAAAACATTTATAATAGTACAAGCACAGTGGCCATAAGGTGGTCACAGAGCCCAAAAAACCTGACTCTTTCGCAAAGGAAATATATTGACAGTAATGTTCACACATACTGAAACAAAAAAGGAGTTATCAGTACAATTGCAAACCACGCTCCCAGTGAGGAGGAAATTTGCTCAAGCAAATTAATCAATATTAGTCATGCATCATACAAACGGAAAATCTTGAAATGATCCAAATAACAGCCAAAATGGTATTAGTAAAGTTCTTTTGACAGGTGTGATCAAGCCCCAAGTCATTACAAATTAACCCCAGTCTTTTATTAGAGATTGTCAAAGTCAAGAGTGCTACAAAACTTCTATAAAAAGAAATGTGTGGTTAAGAAACACTTTTGCATAGAGGACAACATTTGAAGCCATTGTAATGGAAGAAGCAAAATATGTTTCCCCGAAACAAATCTGTGCACATCAGCTTGGACTGTGGGCAAAAGAAAGGATCTTTGCTTAATGATTTTGCAAAATGAGAACCCTTCCCTTTAAATTTTCCTTGCATTTGAAGGGGAATGGAGACAAAAGCTCCCCATTGCCTTTTAATGCTTGCTAATTGACACAGCAAATGGTGATGTTTTGACAGCTGTTTAAAAACTTTCAAAGTATTGATAAGTTAGTAACAATTAAAACGAAATGCCCCACCCTCCAAAGGAAAGCGCATAGGAAGTTTCCAATTAGGTGGCTTCTCCAAAGTGACAGTCAGCCAGCTACTTTGGATTGATCCCAATTATCACACACACTGGAATTGAACCAAAATGGAGCGATCCTACCTGCACATAAAAAACCAATAGGCCCTGACATGGGCCCTTCTGGATTAGGCCAAGGGCCCATCTAGTTCAGGTCCCCGTATCTCACAGTGGTCCAAACAGATTACTCTGGGAGCACACCAGACAACTAGATACCTGTCTCTTGATACCCCTCTCCTGCAGCTGGCATTTTGAAATATCTTCCTTCTAAGCCTGGAGACTATACATCCCCATCATGGCTTGTAACCTGCGATGGGACTTTTCCTCCAGAAATCTGTCCAATCCCCTTTAAAAGGCAGCTAGGCCAGATGCCACCATCACATCCTGTGGCAAGGAGTTCCACAAACTAACAACACGCTGGATCAATAAAGATTTTCTTTTGCCTGTTCTCACTCTCCCAACACTCAACTGGAGTGGATGTCCCCTGTTTCTGCTATTGCATGAGAGGGAAAAGAACTTCCTTCTGTCCACTTTATCCAACCCCTGCATCACTTTATATATCTCAGTCATATCCCCCCTCAAGTGCCTTTTCTCTAGACAAAAGAGCCCCAAACACTGTAGCCTTTCCTCATACGGGAGGTGCCCCAGCTCAGTCATCATTTGAGTCGCTCTCTTCTGCACCTTTTTCCAGTTCCACTGTGTCTTTTTTCAGGTGTTGTGACCAGAACTGTACGCAGTACTCAAGGTGCAGCCTTACCTGGTATCAGTTGACTTTAAGTGGCCATATTAAACTTAAGCATTCCTTCTGTACGATACATCGTGAGACAACTTGGAGGTACAAAAGTGTTCTCTGAACTGTTGATCTCACTGACAGCAGAATCAGCACTTTTATAACACGTTTTGATGGTTTTGTTTTAATTTCTTGCCCCTTGGAATTTATTTGACGTAACATTTCGTGTAACTCTTTCAAGTCTTTGAAGGGATTCTTTGTTGACATGAGCAAGGCCTCCTTTTTCTGCTCTGAAATGATTAATAGGTCACCCTCGGTATGCTGAATGGAAAATTAAAATTTCATGGGAAGATGATTAATGGTTACAGAGGCAAGACCAGATCCAGAAAAAGGTACCACCCAGAGGCCTGAGCCTCAATGTCATTCGTGTGCAAGACTTTCAATTAAAATTTCTTCCCCCTTTGGCAGAGAAATGCAAACCATGGAGAGCTTTTTTTAAATCCACAATGCCCTTCTTACAGTGGCTGAAGATGGAAGCAGTTGTCAATGACAGAAAATCAGACCTAAGTGCAACTTCTGTGCTAGCCCTGTACAACTGATCTTAAAGCCATCAGAATTTCTACGGCTGAAATCCAGCTGGTGCAGCTCTGCCATGTAAATGATAAGGATGTCAGGCGCCATTATAATAATAATCTTAGAACTGCAGAGGTGGAAGGGTCCCTATAGATAATCAATCGCAGTTGTCAATGACAGAAAATCAGACCTAAGTGCAACTTCTGTGCTAGCCCTGTACAACTGATCTTAAAGCCATCAGAATTTCTACGGCTGAAATCCAGCTGGTGCAGCTCTGCCATGTAAATGATAAGGATGTCAGGCGCCATTATAATAATAATCTTAGAACTGCAGAGGTGGAAGGGTCCCTATGGATCACCAATCCCAGCCCCTGTCAAAGAAGCACAATGGGGAACTCCTAACTTGGCTGTTCAGCCAGAGACCTAAACTATTGAGCTATCCAGGAGTTAATCTTCATTTTAATTTTACTTAAAATTTCCTATTCCCCTCTTCAGCTTCAAAAATTCTCTAGGGATCTCTCCTTCCTGAAGAAGCCTTTGGAGGCCTTGGACGGGGCAGGGAGCTTTTAATATCAGAATATCACTACTGGCCACGCCACCACCAGATCAAGAGTACGTACCATTGGGGATCTGGTGGCAATTTCCCACCATTAAAGGCTTGCCTCACCTCTGTCTCAAGGCTCCCAAAGGCTAGAATCTACAAGCAAAATCTTATACCTACCTACCTACCTACCTACCTACCTACCTACCTACCTACCTACCTACCTACCTACCTACCTACCTACCTACCTACCTACCTACCTACCTACCTACCTACCTACCTACCTACCTACCTACCTACCTACCTACCTACCTACCTACCTACCTACCTACCTACCTACCTACCTACCTACCTACCTACCTACCTACCTACCTACCTAC